AGGGTGGGGCCAGCACAACAGTGCACACAAAGGATCGAACCCTGGCCACTCTGTTCTCCCTAAGCAGACACTCTAGAGAACCTTTTCCTGTTGAAATCATGTTAATAGTGGAAAAGACAAATCCCTGTTGAAAAACTTATGAGACAACCTCATCAGGCCATAAAGGAGGCATTTGCTGCTTTAATAATTGTTTATGTTTCTTATGACAATCTCCACAAATGCTCATCTCAGTGACAGGCATAGAGCAGAACCCTTCTCATCTAAGCAGCTTGAATTTCATGACTACAGCAAAACTATCAATCTGCACACTTTAAAAAGCAAGAAAATGTGCATATTTATATTACTAATTTGGCCAATGAAGGGTATTTTTAGGGTAAATCACCTAAACTTTGGGGCAAATGGTTTATTTCCCTTTCAAATGACAATGATTGTCCCATTGAAGTCATTTTGATTCAGATAAAGCTCACCAGAAAAACTTGGAAGCAGCCAAAAATCTTGTAGAAACTCTGAGTCCCTCTTTGTAGGTAACCTAGCATATCTTGTTTATTATAATATTAAATCATTTTTTCTGGAGAACATTCTCATTGAACTATATTTCCAGCTGCCATTTTTTGTTTTGTTTTATTTTTCATTTTGACACAGGGTGTCACAAAGTTGCCCGGGCTGGACTCTAATTTGCCATCTTCCAGCCTCAGCCTGTCAGACTACAGGGATGACAGACGTGTACCCATTTGCTTGTTCCACATTACCTTTGAAGATGCAAAGCATAACTTTGGACTAAGCATACTCAGGAATGTGCTGACCTCTCCACTTGATGAGGAATCTTTTCTACATGAACACATATGAGTTTCATCAGTTAGAGCCCCTTGAGAGAAGGCCTTGAGAATTACAGCCAGTGCACTCCTCACAATAACAAACCTTTCTTTATTCTTCCATCTCCTAGTGGAGATTATCAGCTTTGCTCATAACAGAGAACTCCTCCCTGTTTTACCCAGATTACTTGTAAACTACTCCTGCCCCATTACGATTTTCCCCTTTTACCCATTCAGCTTCTTGTCAATCTTTCCATTGCTAAGACACATCAAGGTATGTGTCATCTGCATACCCTTTCCTCCTCTGTTACATAGAAAATAAAAATGAGATGCCACATAGATCTATAAGATTGTAACACAATTTTATGTGGAAAAGACTTAAAGATTGCAAAGGTGAGA